GAGGCCGCTCTGGGCTCCTCTGGGCATCCCCCCCGGAGCCCGTTTTGTGAGGATGTCTCAGGCGAGGGCGCCAGTTTGGGATTCGTCACCGGATCCAGCGGATCCAGCGGATCCGTCCGGAAACGGTGCCGGAGGCCGCTCTGGGCTCCTCTGGGCATCCCCCCCGGGGCCCGTTTTGTGAGGATGTCTCAGGCGAGGGCGCCGGTTTGGGATTCGTCACCGGATCCAGCGGATCCAGCGGATCCAGCGGATCCGTCCGGAAACGGTGCCGGAGGCCGCTCTGGGCTCCTCTGGGCATCCCCCCCGGGGTGTTTTGTGAGGATGTCTCAGGCGAGGGCGCCGGTTTGGGATTCGTCACCGGATCCAGCGGATCCAGCGGATCCGTCCGGAAACGGTGCCGGAGGCCGCTCTGGGCTCCTCTGGGCATCCCCCCCGGGGCCCGTTTTGTGAGGATGTCTCAGGCGAGGGCGCCGGTTTGGGATTCGTCACCGGATCCAGCGGATCCAGCGGATCCGTCCGGAAACGGTGCCGGAGGCCGCTCTGGGCTCCTCTGGGCATCCCCCCCGGGGCCCGTTTTGTGAGGATGTCTCAGGCGAGGGCGCCGGTTTGGGATTCGTCACCAGATCCAGCGGATCCAGCGTATCCAGCGGATCCGTCCGGAAACGGTGCCGGAGGCCGCTCTGGGCTCCTCTGGGCATCCCCCCCGGGGCCCGTTTTGCGAGGATGTCTCAGGCGAGGGCGCCGGTTTGGGATTCGTCACCGGATCCAGCGGATCCAGCGGATCCAGCGGATCCAGCGGATCCGTCCGGAAACGGTGCCGGAGGCCGCTCTGGGCTCGTGCTCTTCGCGCCGGGGTTGAGGATGACGTGAGTTCCACAGAAACTCCCTCAAATTAGCGATCCTTGGATTTGGCCAACGTATTGCGCCGGAGAATTGTTATGCAGTGTATTGCAAGCAATGCGAGGCACGCCCGAAATGCATCGCACGCCCCGAATGTGGACCCCCTCTTGGGTCAACCCGAGGGGAGGCCCCTTCGCCCACCGCCGCGTGGAGGGTCACCGCCGAGATCGGTGCTGGTGCCAAGCTCCAAGCCTCCGACCGCACAGCCTGGCGCTCGCCGGGTACAGGGGACTCGGAAATACCCGACGAGGTCGCCAAAAAAATGGCGAGGCCGAGCCTGCATTTTGACGAGGCCTCCCGCTGCAGACATCCCACGAAACTCCTACTCGTCAAAATCCGAGTCGCGGTCGTCAAAAAACGATGGCCAACCCGAGTCTTGGCAAACCTGGGTCTTACGCTACCCCGATGCGGGCCCAAGGGGGCCGTCGGAGAGAACGACCCGGCCTGGGGAGCCGGCCCATGCAGGGCATGGCCCGTGGGGTCCAGGCGCCGCTTCACTCGGGACCCCACTCCAAGACGAGGCCGGGGCGAGGAGCACATCGGGTGGGGATGGCGCGATGGATCTCCGAGAGCCCAGGACGAGGATGACATCGGGTGAGGACGACCCGATGGATCTCCGAGAGCACGCGGCTCTGGAGGATGCCTCGGGCGCCGCAGCCCATCCTCGCAGCGTTCCGGAGCGCTCTGGGAGCGCTCCCGGGAGCGCTCCCCAACGGAGGTATCTCCTCGCCCTGGCCCCGTCCGACTCTCCTTCAGTCTCAGCGGGCCCCAGAAATCAGGGCCCCGTAGACCCAGACACGCTAGACCCGGACACCCAACATCCCTCGAAACCGGATTTTCCAAACGGCGGCACGAACAAAATACCACACCGCAGCATTTCCAGAATAGACCCGGACACAAGCCCCAAAAAGCTGCAAGACCCCCCTGCTAAACCCGGGCATAAACCCGAATCCTGCAGCGCAGCAAACAAAACGTGCACGGGAGCTGAAAAACGTGACCTTGCAGGAAAAGATGTCGTTTCCTTGGTTTTCCGTGTCCTGGTTTATCTGTGTCCTGGTCTCCGGGGGCCTGAAGAAACGGCAACAAAAAGGCCCCGGATTCGGGAGCAGCGAAAGAGCGGCGACGGACCCGGCAACACAAACTGGCGTCGGAACCGGCAAGAGAAGGGCAAGACGGCACCGGTAAAAGACGGCCCTGTCGCTTCCGGGGCCCACCAAGTAAGACGAGCATGCTGTCATGATAACACCTGCCGAGGCCGTGCTCCAGGATTCCCAGCGTGCCAAGAGGCTCTCGCTTCCGCAGCACGCGTGGAGAGTCCTGGAACCTACCATCATCATGACCTCCTGCTCCTCCGATCCTAGAGGCCTCCCAGATTGAACCCGAATAGATGTGGTCGGAGGATCTCGCCGCATGGCCGATACATCTCCGCTGCATCGCCGATGCTTCGCCGATGCACGAGCGATGCACCGGCGACAAATCGGCGATCCATCGACGACGCTGGCGCGGAGAACGTCGAGCTCCACATCGAGCCGCATCGCCGCTGCATCGCCGATGCATCGGCGATGCGGCGAGATTTGAGCAGGGACCGACAGTCCCGGCATTCCTATAGGCCTATCACGCAAGCTTCTTAGAAACCGCAAATGGGCTAAGGACAACAACAGTGTTCTTAGAACACAAGCCCGATGCGTTGAAACAAAATAGCCCAAACCAGAACTGTTCTGAGAACATCTCGCGCAGACCACAAAATGTCCCTAGAACATTCTTTGGTGGGGCCTGTAGGCGAGCTGGGACGCTTCGCCACTGCTTGAGAGGTCCTCCGACCCCCTCGGGGGCGCGCAAACATGGATTAGCGATCCATGGATTT